GAAAAAGGTTAATAAACAAATATACACATTATCACATGTTTTATTGTTAGTTCACAAGTTCATAGATACGGACACAGAAAAAATCGTCAACTTGCGAAGTAGTGTTGACTATATCTTCTCGGAACTCTCTATTGATTATAGTTTTCTTTTCCCCCTGTTGGATTTGGGTAAGCACATTTTTGTCTTGGTAGAACACCGATTTCACATTTCTACCGTCTGGGGTTTCCTCGTCGAATTCTTCTCCCATCCTAAAATTATACTTCTCGTCTTTGAAAAAAGTAGAAAACACAAGTTTGTATTCATCTTCGGATCTTGACAGTTGCATAACGGGTTCCACAAACGCCAGTAAATGTCTGTAAAAATATCCGATGCCCAACGCCTTCAAGAGTTCGTCGCAGCTGTTACCACGTCCTGTGTTAAGTTTATATTTTTTATTAAAATACGGCTCAAGGTAAGAATCATCCAATTCTTCAGAGTCTTCGGAATCAGCTTGTGTCAACGAAGTTTTAAAAATATAAAAGAACAAAAATACACAGAACTGGAATCGAAACATGTGTCGACGTGGATGAATTTCGTAATTACGAATTGAACAACTATTGTGTTAATGTAAGTTTACCTCATTTATATGACGTTAGGCGACTCGGCAACAGCTACAGTATCACCCGCGAGCAAACATGAGGAAGAACTCTCCGTTATCAATGCCTCGAGGGCCGTGATAATGAAAAGAGATAGGGAAACTCAAGACACTTTGTGTTGTATCCAGCTAACATTCATTTCAGATTGTAACACATCACAGGTAAGTGTTAGTATGGCTGCACTTTACTTTAGGTCCTACACTCATTCGAATGAAAATATCGTTTGTTCGATTGTTTCATTCGATATATCGTTTGGTTAGTTAGGTTAGGTTAACCTTACCTATCTAACCAAACGATATATCGAATGAAACAATCGATTTATCGATTTATCGATCAATATTTTCATTCGAATTAGTGTAGGACCTAAAGTAAAGTGCAGCCGTTAGTATCCCCGCATTGACAATGGCAATACTTAAAACTCTTCATCTTTGAAGTTTCATTGTCGATGCCCAACTGATTGCGCAGATTTCACCAAGTAGCTCTTAAGAAATGTTTAGCCTCCAGTGGAAAAATAAGGCTAGATTATACAATTCTAAACTAATCAATCTTTATGTAAGTATTTATTATAAAATTAAACAGTTTTAATTAACCTAACTTAACCGAACTCGCTGTAAGATTTCATAAATCGGCTTTATAAGAGAAAAGGCCTAGAGGTGCAGAGTGCATCAGAGGAATTTACCGAATAGCATATCGTTGATTAAAATCATTGACTTTAGAAACACTTCTAAAGTGGTTTATTAGTCAATAATGTTTCCTTTAAAGAACATTTCGTATAATTACGGGGATATATATAAATGGGCCGACTGACCACTTACACCTCGTCCTTATTTAAGCATGTTATGTTATTTAGCATGCATTATGTTTTATAGGAGGTTGTTCTTTTTCTTTATGTCGATTCGGGGCTGTATTATGAGTTTTAAAGTTAGGCTAGCTTAGGTAAAGTAAAGTTTAGGTTACAATGAACCGAGTTGTTGGTTTATGTTATTCGCAGACTTTTTTGTCTAATTAAACACTGGGCAAGACACTGGAAAATACTATTAAAAAATGCTTGCAAACAGCCTAGAAGACAAAAATGCTCGACCAGCAGACAGAACTGTAAATAGAAGGCTCGAGCAAACCAGGAACAAATATTTATTTGTATAATCATCTGAGGAGGAAAATGGTAAACTAGCTAACTAACTAGGAATGGTAAACTTTATAAACAGTCCCAGGGGCCCAAGTGTATAAGATATATTTACTCTTTATATTATAGACTACAAGCTAAATGTGAGCAATATGACAACTCGGTTGTCTAGCTGAAAAGAACACCTAAAAATAGTATTTAAACTTTTAATTTTTGTAAGGCCACACTAATAATTTTTACTTCGAATAAACTTCGGAGCACGACACAAACAAATTTGGAAATTTTGGATTTCAAAAGGGGCGATAAGTTGTATGTTTTAAATACATTTAACATTACTTATAATATGAGAACTTAGAAAACTCGTTAAATGCCATATAGTAGTCACACACAGTTTGCGATTAGGCTACATAAAAATATCACGTGATAAATCACCGATATTTAAGTTTTAAAATATTGCTGCCATATGCTACCAAAATTTATCTATCTATAGGTATACTTAACTAAGTGGCCTTCAGTTCATCTTCAGCGGCCAACCACATTGTTAAGTAGAGTTGTGGCCTGTCTGTCAACTAGCAGGCGTCGTGAAATGTACAGAACCGTCCTCGCCTTCGAAATTCTCAGATAACAAAATTATTCTACTAACAGCTAGGTACGTAATAATATTTATTTTATTGGCTTTAAATTAATCACTGGAGATAAGTATAATAATGATAGGGAATCTGAACAAAGACGAGATCAATAAAGTTTTTTTCGTAAAAGATAAACACCTTCGTGTTACCGTGATGGACCATAAGTTCTTTTGAAATCAGAGCTGAATTTACAATAATAGATCACCTGTAAATAGTTACAGTAGTTGAGATTATACCTAGAGTCAAGTGCATACACATACTGCTATGTATTTACTTGAGTTTAGTTGTTATGTTCCTAATTTATATGATTGTCTTTGTCATTATCATCCATCAATATTATTAAGAATTTGTTGGATTTTTGTGTGCAGCAAATTGACCCCTAAATATTTATTTTTATAGACGTACTAGCTGTACCCGCGGGCTTTGCCCCGTTTTACTTCATAAGTGAGCTCGTTCGCATGGCTCAATCACGTCCTGGTTGAAGTTTGTTCGCTACGCTCACTCACCTTTAGGTTGGAGCTCGTTCGCTGCGCTCACTTGCCTTCAGGTTAGCTCGTTCGCTACGCTAACTCGCCTCCGGGTTGAAGTTCGTTCGCTACGCTCACTCACCTTTTGGTTGCAAATTAGCTGTTGTCATAAATTTAAAAAATAATAATAGTGCTGAACCCTGTTGGTAATCCTTGTAACTTTAATGCTATTGCACATCATAGAACAGAACCAACTTGTTTAATTGAAACAGCTGTTAAGATACATTAATTCCATTTAAATAATATGAGTACTCATAAGGTTAACATGAGGAACATAAGGAAACTCCAGAGCCACTGGGGCGGGGCCCGAGAGCCGAGAGCCCGATCAGAATAAAAACCACTTAGTTTTCCTATTTAATGCCTAAAGAATCAGTGTACCAAATTTCAGCCTCCTAGGTAAATGGGAAGTGGGAGAATTAGTGATGAGTGAGTGAGTGAGTGAGTCAGTGAGGGCTTTGCCTTTTATATATATAGATTAAGTATCAATTTAAAGTTCTTATTCTCTATATGTGCCTTTTGCTGGTTTGGATAATATCCCTTGAACCCTTCGTCCTATAGACTTTGAACATTTCAGAGTTTGTGCTGAATTATGTTGTCAGTCATATGAACTTTTCAAGTTTACATTTTGTTTATATCAAAACAGATTGTCAGGAAATAGTTATTTGTGCAAGTAAACTATTGTTATTTTGTTTAAAATGAAAAGAAAAAATGACATTAGATTTTGTGTTTTCATGGTATGTTTTATTAGTATTTGTATTTTTTTCTAAGATGCCTGGAAGAGATCGTGAATTCAATGAAAATAATACAGCATGCAATATAATAGCAATACGATGAGAAATAATAGTTTTCACTCTTATCAATTAATTGCCCTTAGCCATCGACAATTCAATAAATTACTCTCTATTTGAACTTGGACCAATGAATGAAGTACGTAGTTGGTATTGGAAAACCTCATTACAAAGTTATGTTCAGGGTTTGCTTGGACAATTACAAGTTAGTGATAAGTTAATGATTATCACGTAAAAAATATAAATTATTTAACTTTACTCAGAGCAATAGAAAATTGTTTAATTCAAACATAACACGGATTTTGAAATCACAAAGTGACTCTGGCTGCTAGTCTATCGATATATTTCGTACTTAAAGCAAAGTCAAATACCATTCTCTGACTTACTCATCACTGTATCTCAAAAACTACTAGCTGTAAGACCTCGAGAATTGGCATGGAGATTCTAAATGGGCTCTAGGTGTTCAATAAGAAACGTTTTCAAGAAATTCCATCAGGGCTCTGCCCTAGTGGCCTCCCATGTTATCCTTAGGAGAAAAGATCCATATATAAAACCCGAAGTACCCATGAATTTTTACAAACCCATAAACCATATACTTAAAATGTCCGTTATGATGAGAAACCTTGCGCAAATTTATCCATTATTTCATGAATTGCCCGTATTATTTCATAAATTGTCCTTTAATATTGTAATTCCTTTCTAAAGGGAACTTTCCAATTCCATTCCATATACCTAATGTTAAAAATACCTCAGCTTGATCAATAAGTGTAGGCCCTACTCACTCAGGTTGAACCTTTTACTTCTTATTTTTTGTGAGCTAAGCCATGACAGGGGTTTGCTATGAACCCAAATATGGTTTATCCCTCATATCAACTAATTGTCATAAATTTGAATGTCAAAGACATGGTCAACACAATTGTTAAACAGTTTTACAATAAACGAAGATTGAAGTAAAATAGTGGTCAAGAAATGCATTTTCAAACTTTAATGACTTTAATTAATTATAGCTCACACTTGAATAACAAAGTTCTCTAAACTGCCTGAAAATTTCAGCTTTAAAAAAAAACATAGGCTGTTAAATTTCATCAAATATGCCACAAGAAAATTAAGAATTAATAACATATTCATTTCAGATTCTACTGACTGTAAACTCTGATATAGTCTAATCACACAAAAAATTTGAATTGGAAAAGAATAATTAGCATTGACTTTATTTCTATCAGAGGTTGTACATGCTAAAAACCTAAGAACTTTGCACTCAAATCACAGGAAGAGATGAAGGTAAAGTAAAAATGACATTTTATAAGTACTATTTTATATTTGACAATCTAAGTAGTACCTAGGCAACAGAATGTACACAGAATATTTACAAATACATGATAGACAAGCGACTATTTACAATCAGTCATAGGCTGAAGTGATATAATTCCAACGACCTGGGCTTCAGGCTTCAGCTCAGTCTTATACAGGCCTGACCACTTACAGATGATCACATTCAAGTTGGATATGTGGAGTGAATCCTTATTACACTAGTTCTTTTCTAATTTGGAAATTAAATTAACACTTTCAGATGTAAAGACAACCAGTGTCATAGTTGAATACTGCTATATGTTTGTGTTAATGTTGATTTAAAGGTTTACAATTAAAGCATTTTCCACCTTCATTAATTATATTTTGAAAGGCCTTATAATGAGCTAAAAAAAGGCATGGCACTTACTGGCCCGACAATGTAAATGATTGATACAGATAAATTGGTGGATGCCTCACATTAAAAATTTTATTAAGGCCTAAGGTTTTTTAAATTTTTATAATCTGGAAAAAAAGTTTTAAAATATTTTCTTTTACAAAATGAAACAATATTCACATAATTTGGCACTAAAAGAGTTCAAGTTTATTTATAAACAACTATTTTGCTACATTTAGCTAAAGTATCTATGTTTCAAATTACAGATTAATTATTTAACTATTTAACAAAATTTGAATACAAATTGGTCTAAACAATTTTCCTAAAATAGTGCTCACCTATAAATTCAAAGCTATAAACTGAAATTTGTGATAGAAATTTGCTACTATACAAGCTTTTTACATTGAAATATTTGAGCTTTAGTCATTACTCAATACAGATTCAAACTAAATAACACTTCCAAAATAAATTCAAAACAAATAGGTCACTCAAATAATTCTATAACATTACAATGTTAATTCACAACAACAATAGTAGTAGACATTTCTTTAACACATAGCTTATTTATCACATTGATGTTAGATTTGTACAGTAACAATGATTTCTGCCAATGCCATGTGTTGCCAATCAATGTTCAACGTACCCTGAAATCATTCAATAACTTAACTATATATCTAAATGCCACTGATGCTGACTGGAGTTACTCATATGAGCCACTTCAAACGGTTCCTGAGATCTTAATAGCTCGGATCTTTTGTGTCAGTGCTTTACCAATCAATATAATTAAAGTTTCAAAACCTAAATCGCAATAGTAAACTTCAAGAACTTTGTTTTAAATGGTACATGTAAAAGGTGACCATCAACTTAACTTATGTACAAATGCTAGGCGGTTCTTTAAAGTAACAAAGGCTGTATTGATAATAAATCAAAATATACCGTAATAGTAATAAATCATAAGATTCACAAAGAAAACACTTTTTTGGAACACAACAAAATTATTGATACTTCTTATACAAATCGAGGCCTGGAATACATTGATTCATTTGTTACACTTTACGTGAAAAATTTTCTTAACCACTATGACATAGTGTGACCCTTACTATGTTAGTACTGGCCTTATAATATGACTTAACTTCGTGTACCCCATAGAAAGTACCAAACAAACTTAATGCTTTATCCTATTAGAGATCAGCTCCCATCTGCACTTCTCGATTGGCACTGAACTTTCACAAAAGACCAAATTTTTTTACAAGCATAATAATATATTATGCCGAATAATTTAGACACGCACACACCAAAGGTCAAATTAAATACTCAGGTGCTTAAAGGAACAATTATTTTAAAAGTCCTAATTGAAAATAAAGTTCGTAAGTTAAAGAGGAACACAGTCTGGAACAAGTTGGTCCTGATGGTGGTTGGAGGGGGCGTAACGTTCTTCCCTCGTCAACCAGGGGTGGATAAGGACATCATCTGCTGTCAGTCGCTCTGAGGGTTCCCGTCGCAGGAGGCTGCGGATCAGACACTTGGATCGGGACGACAGACTCTCGGGAACGATAAAATGTCCTCGGCTGATCTTGGCAAATAGACTGGCGTGCTCTATGTCATTGAAGGGATACCTGGAAACAGACGGTTAGGTTATAACGAGTCTTCACTAATTGCATCAAAAATAAGTTAAATTAGGGCCTAAATATGATTTTGTTTGATTCGGCCACAACGTTTAAAAGATTAAAATAAACAGAGAGGACTTGGCTGTACAAATGAACATGTTCTACGGAAGGAGTCCCCCACAAAGAACATGAAACGTTTCAGAGGAGAACATGCGAGGCCCTGGCTGTAAAATGGAGAAAACCATACTCCCAAATTATTGGATGGTTGAGGATCCAAAGCCAGCTTTCTATCATTCGAGCAGTTTCACTTAGGCTTCGAGGAACAAGACGCAAAATTCGAAGCATTTAGTTTGAAGATGGTGCCGCAATTCCCCAATTGCTCTATTGAGCCTTCATTTTATTATTATATATATAATTTGTCTTACCAGTATTAATTGATTTGTAGTAGGGAATTATCAATAAAATATTTTGGTTTTGTTTTAAAATATAATAACACACTGTTAGCAGCTCAATTCAACTACCTTCCTTTATAATATAAATCTGGCTACAGCTTTGACAAGGGAATCAAATGTCTAGTTCAATCCCTTTCCAATGGAACATCATACACACCTTCCCACCAACATGGTGTACAGAATGACCCCCAGACTCCACATGTCAGCGGCTTTCCCGGAGTACCTAGCATGACTCCGAAGAATCTCTGGACTGACGTAAGCCGGACACCCTCGCTTGTCCTGCAGGATATCATCCTCCGGATCTTCCAGGACCACTGCATCCTCTAACGTCTCTAGCTTCAACTCCGTCCTGTAAACAAACAAGTGATTTGTAGAAAACTACAATTTTTATTTTTATTTTAAAGATAGCCAAATTTTAAATTAGTTTAGAAACACTCTGAAGGGTTTTCTCAGTACGCAATTATGGTAAATAGTTGACCTCTTATTTCTTAAACGGGTAAACAAAGAACAAACAAGCTTATAGAATATTGGAGATGAATGAGTGATGAAACTACTTAGTAGATATCCAGTTAATGATCGGATTAAATTAAAGATTTCTTCACTTATAGGATGGCTCCTCGTCTATGGTGAGAGCAAGTAAAAAGACGTGCATTTTATTCAAACTGAATTGAACAGGACCATCACGTTATATCTATGACAGAAAACCAAGCACTTCATTGCAAACTATTGATCATCAAAGTTATTGATGATATCATGTTCCAAAAGCTGTTCCAGCGATTAAAATCTGTCCATAGAAAGATTTCCAAACTAATTGATATCAAATTTACAAGTTGGGCAATCGTACATTCATAGTTGAGATAATAATTTCGAAATACGTAATACAATAAGTGGTTCAGCTGATGATTGCATAACGCAAACAATTAATGTTGATAAGCGGGGAATTCACATATTCTATAACACTTACACTTGTCCACGTTACGCAAAGCTGTCGCAATTCCGATAGTGTGGATGCGAGTTTGAACCTAACCGCGGCCGTAACCCTACACCGGTACGGTTCAAAGTTGCGTCAACTGCCTGGAGCCGGGGCGAGTTACCCAAGGATTTCGTCAGAGGGATTTGACATTTGGCATGCATATGTGACAGAGTTAATCACGTAAGAGAGAAAGGAGCTGCACTGCCCGATATAGGTGATTACGTCACGCACCTGTAGCCTGTGAGGTCCTTACTGTGAGCAGACTCCTCCGACCAACCCCGCCTATAGCTCTATCACGTGAAAGTGTAAAAACTACTACAGGGAAAAATGTGAAAGTATAACGTGACCATTTTTATTTTTCTGCTTCTTAGGGAACATGACAATTAGAATTTCAAGTGAGGGTTCTATCTATGTCATGTATGGAAAATAGTGTTTTCCAACATTAGTCGGTTTCCCGTGTGACATTCTACAATTGACTCAGAGAACCAACCCAAGAAGTAGAGATCTTGCCTGTCAGAATATTCCAACACACTCGAGAATCGCTTTGCACGACCTATTTCTATTAATAACAGAAACTCCGTCCATCAGATGAGCTAGGGAACAATGTGCTTACTCCATTGTTGCGTTTACAAGTGTGACAACATCGCACATTGTTTCCCAATATCAGGTGTACCAACTGATAATAACTCAGATGGTTAATGACTGAGCGGCCAGTGGCCTATCACGCAGAGGGCGCGCCACTGTCTAGCCTCCATCCTCCAGCCTCTCCTACACGGCTCACAGCCAAGGTCACCGGTCATGCCATTAGTGGGTGACAGTAAAACCGAGTGGGCCATGAGAAGTCCTTGGGCAAAGTCGGACGATTCGAAAAGTTCGAGCAGAGAATCGGATAGGATTCCCAGAAACCTTTAAGGGTGTATAATAAAAATGAATACGTAGTGCATTTAACTAACGCACTAAAACAGTAAACATAGCATAACGAGCCTCACAAGGCGACGATCCGTCTTGCAACCGAACAAAAAAGGAGCGACGGGTCTTGGCCATAACAGGTTGCTCTGATAGGAATGAAACAATGACACAAGACAGTTTCGAAACTCGGTCAAAATAAGTTACAACACGAGCCGGTATCGAGTATCGGATCGAGCAAATGAATTTCAGTGCACTGGTTAGGCCGATCGTCTTACTCCATACAAGTGTTTACGTCAGAGGAGAAAGAGAGCTGCGTCTGGCAGCCGCTTGGAGCGCTAGTTACGTCAGAGAGCGGTCACTAACCTAGGCCACCGGCCTACCGCCAAGTTCAAGCTCTCTTCTTCGACTTCCCTCTCCTTTTTCACGCATTTCTTCCGTATCTGAACTGAACTAAGCCCATAAAAACAAGAGGCGATTCTACAATTGCTCTCGTTGAGTAAACTGCGAATCGTAACTTAAGTTGGAGAAACCGTTCAATAGATTTCATAGGAGTTCTAGTAATTAAACATTTTTTTGCGTGGCGTAGATCAACAACATATTACTTACTCGTAATATGTACTTTGATCGATAAAATATATTGGTCGTTCACAAACTACCACAGGATTTTCAATCGTCACACACTTTTGAAACTAAAGATAAAATTTCATAACCGCTCCGCTGTATCAGAAGGTCTAATTATCAAAAGGTTGTGTCGAGATATCTGTTATTTCACAACTGTAAAGAAGCAATAGATATCTACTGATAAGCTGTAACGATGTTCATTTCGAGAACCCATCAAGACTCGAGTATCTCGGATTGATGTAACAACATAAATCCGTCTTGCGAAATCGGCCTGTTTGTGAACAAAAACTATAGTTCGTCGATTATTGGATACATCGGGAAACAAATTACCCAACTTGAGAGCAAGGATATACGTTCACGCTCCTAGCGAGTGGTGTCTTACATAAAGATGAGCGAAGGTTCCACGACAAAAAATTGTTTTTCGAATGTGGCCGAGCGACTACGGAGAAATACGATAACCCCGTCGTTGTGTAAGGGTGGACTGTGTATCCACGCGGCCGCGGGTTCACTATCACTTTCGACCGTAGCCGCAGCTGATAGCACAAGGGATTGCTCAGTACTCGTGTCTTAATCACCTATCAGCGTTTCGAAAGATGAACAAGATTTTGTATCGAAATAATCCTGTAATAATGACGGGGGAACGAATTCGCTAGTTGTCCTTTGTTCAAGCATGAATTACACAAAACTCTAACTGCGAGATAAAATGCGAAGGTGAAATAGCGTGAGGAAAACAAGAAAATAAAACCCGCATGTTAAAGAATTACAAAACTGCTGGCAATGGTATTTTGGCACAAGTCTAAATAGTTTGGACCCAACTGAGAACAATGCAACACTTTCAAAACGACGGGTGGGTAGGAGTTATTGTGTAATTCGGTCTTATTTTAATATTAAAAATAACTGTCACAAGAAATTGTTTATATTTACTTGAACATTTAGTTAATTGTTAGTATACAGTTAAGAAATTTTAACACATTAAGAAGAGGTAACTTAAAAAAATAAAACTACAACAAGCAAATCCAAGAGAAAACCCCTGAGGACGGCGTCAGAATGCAGATGAATCTCATAACTTTCCTTACCACATTACATAAAGATCTGTCTCAGAATTGCAGTTCCTGCTCCGATCGCTTCCTGGTGTTGCAAGTTGTGACGAGAAATTTGCGCAAAGAAAGTCCACGGCGGCGTGGGTGAATGACCGGGGAAAGTCGGGAAGCATCCGTAAACTGTGAAAGTCAGTTGAGGCAACCTAGCAGAGCAGGCTCAGCGCTCAGTGCAACCCTGGGTTCCGCATTTCTCTTGTTCAGTTGGCAATAGTAGCCAACAGGGCGTGATGTAAGGGATTGCGTCTAAAGCATGTAACCAGTTACCAGTAACCTCTACACTTCTGGAAAAGGGCTTCAACGAGTAACCGTGTATAAGATAATGTCTGTACAATATATATGAACACGCCAGCAAACTACCTAGAAGTCCGCAAGAAGTAACTAAAATTACATGCCGTAAGATAAGACAACAAATATGTTCACAAATCAATTTCACCCTAAGTTGAAAAGTTTTGAAAATTGTAAGTGAAGCTAGGTCAAGCTTCTCCAGAACAAATGCCAAAAATGCTAAACCTCAAGGTTCTCCTCATTCGTTTGACATTCATCGCCATTTTGATCAACTTAAATAAATGACCGTAAATCTTTAACAATCCACCATTAATTTATATGACCACGTTTTTCTAAACCAGACTGGCAACCGAATTAATCAAGACACAAATTTTCCCCCAAGACAATGGTCTCCGTTCCCTGACAGATTATAAATTACAAACAGAGTGTGCCAGACGACAAAGCCCAGAGAAGAGAAGGTTTGAACAAAGAGACCATCTTATTAGCAAAATGAGATGCGGCCGGAAACACAAATCGTATTGAATTCCAATCGGGGTCGAGAACAAAGCACTCGTGCAGGAAGTCTCGCCTTCACCTTCAAACATTCCTTTACCTTCACCCAGCAAGATGATTCTTGCAGCGCAAATCAAAATTGTAGAACGCGTGTTTGGCGCGTGTGCCTTGATGTAGAAACGATACCTGGTCTAAAAATGATGCACATGTGGTGCGATGTGAAATTCCTAGAAAGGCATTCCACATTAGGCTTCGGTTCTGCCGTATATTTTCAAGCAGTGATGTAGAAATGAACGAGAGAAATCGAGTCTTGCGTGAGACTGCTGAGAAGAAAGCGTAGGCGAGAGAGAAAGGTCTTTGAGTGATTGCTCGGTCTAGAAAGGATATCGTCTGTTTCTCGGTCACTGAGTTATTAAAAAAATAAATCAATGCATTTCGAAATCAAGAATAGAATAGTTACTGTTTACAAACAATTCAAGTCCATCGTCGACAGCCTAGCCTAGTTGTTGATTGACAAGTGAAATAGGCTAATTTTGTTTACAGTACCTAGTAAGCAAAACTCAAAACTTTCTTTTAAAAAAATACACACAAATTACACTCGTTATCGTCAGTTTGAAATTCGATCCCCTCTCGATGACGTCAACATTGAACCATTGTGAGAACTTAGTCTATCCGATGCAACAACGGGTTCTCATCATACGAACAATAGCATTTTGAAAACAGCATTCCGGGATCAGATTCTGCAGATGATGGCAATATATCGCAAGATGTAGAACAATGCAGATGAATATATGGCGAGTTGATGATCGAATTTCACAGAACACAGAGCTGTAGGAACTCACTCAGCGGCTGGATAAAAAAAATCGCCGACTGAAGGCAATCTGATATTAGAGTCTTTATTCAGTTCGCATACTCTAATAGATTTGCAAAGATAAACACAATATAATTAATATAATTCCTAGATCATCT